CTTTCCCTTAGTCACAGCTCGCAAAAAGGTTTCCACAACCAGAAGCTGTCTTAAACAGTAAGTTTTAAATGATGACTTATCAGTGGGGAGAAAGGGGTAGGCCTTGAATTAGTAGGCCAGATCCCCCAGCACACGTCTACTCCCCTAAACCACTCATCGAGACTGCCATGTTGCAGTAACTTGGAAACTACATTCTTGGTGTGGTAAGTGGGGGAAACATTCCCAAGAATGCACAGTGGGCCCCTGACCCCAAAAATTTAAAGTGTATTAACTGTAAAAAATTTGGGGGTTACGTTTCCCAAAAGGGACTGCATCAAAACCCAAACAACCTTCGATGTAAACCGATAACACCTTTTAATGGTAACTGGGGATGGACCTCCAGCTACCACACCCAGATCGAAAAAACCCTCTGAAAAGTGTGCAAGAACCCCACTTCACTGCAAGGATTCTGGTGATACCAGAATGCCTCGCACACACCACTGTGGAAGCTAGCATCCCTGCTAGCCTATGGAACCCTACTGGCGGCCATACAATACCATGGTACCCCTAAAAAGGGGATGAGTTTGTCATTTCTCCCAATACACACAATACAACATCAGACGGACACCCAAGTAACCCCCCTGGAAATTGGGTGATCAGATCCAGGACCTACCTCAATGAAGTGAAACAGAAAACCCCAAGTAACCAGGTACCTGTTAAGGTGATAGTGTTAAAGAAAGCACAAACCCAAAAGTGCCACCCTCCGGAGAGGTTTTGGATTGCCTCCCCTTCCTAAATTTTTTAAAACAAATTTCCGAAAAAAATTGAGCTCTTGAACAGAGCGAAAATTTTAAAAAATATATGTAATCGGGAGATGCTCTTGACTGTGATGATTAAAAGTGCAGCAACCCGTTCAGCTTCCACAATTTTGAGAAAGAACCCCAAACTCTTCCTTCAAGACTTCCCTTTTTAACTGGCTGCCAAAATGCCGAAAAAGCTTAAAAAAAAGGTCCTAAAGAAAAGACGTAAACTATGCTATTTGCTCTTAAGTGTCTGCACACTTTATCAAAGCATAATTTTTTTCCCCTTTATGAGAAAAGAGATTGAATAACTCCTACAATGGATACATTACAAATCTTTTCATGGAACATTGCTTCCCATCAGAAGGGGTTTTCCTGACTTACATCATTTTAGTGCAACCAAGAATATTATGTCATCTGTTTGCGGGAATGAAATTTTGAAAGATGGAGCACCCACCAAACTTGCCGGATATAGCTTATAACCTAAGGTAAACCAACGTTTGTATTGTATGTCAAAAGAACTTGCACTTCACCCCTTTTTCCTTGTAGATCTTTTAACATCATTCATGGTGTCAAAGTATATCAGGCGATTTTTCCATAAACATTTTTAACTCTATGCCCCAGCAACCATTCGATTTGATGCTTTACCAATCGCAAAATACAAAACCTCCATCATTCTTGGAGATTTAATCCCAGACAAAAAAATTTTGGGGGTCTAAAAAAACACCAATGGGACTAAACTAGTGAATTGCAAAATGAGCTGAAAATTTTTCGAATTTGGCTTACTGACCTACCACATATATGGGGCATACAAATCTTGTTTTGGATTTAATACATCATATACGATGAAATGCTCGTCATATTTATGTCTTCTATCTGATCACTTCCCAAGACAACAACTGTCAATTTGACACATCTCCAGCAATAAAGGAGTAAATACAGAAGGAGGAAACTTTTTCTCAAACCAGAACACAGAGAAAAAATTTTTTTAACCACTTGGATCAATGGTAAAGAATTACAGCCCATTGGACACAAAAATTTAATGAGATTTAATTCCCACTATGAGAGTTTTCTCACAGATCAAGGGGGCAGGAATAGGAAAAAAAAAACCCTCCCCTAAAAATAAAATAAAAAAACCCAAAGTAAATACTATAAGATCCACACTGTGCTTTAAAAAACATGCAGTAGGAGGGTTGGTAAAGCATACCCTGAATTAAACCCCCCGACCTGCTCAAACGTTTTCCCCGCACTAACAAAAAAAACAAGGAAAAAGAAAGGAAAAACTTAAGCAACAGGAAAAGGGGAAAAGTTGTAAATGGATTAATAGGGCCACCCCCTTTTAGTTTGGGTTGGAAAGGATAAAAAAATAACCAGGAAAAAAAAATGGCAATGTTGCTCATCCCTTTCCTCTTTAAAAAGCAAATGACCTCATAAATGACTGGGCCCAAAAAATCCGGGATGAAAGCCTTCCATCTCTATTAGAAAAATTTAGAGGTACTTTTTGAAGAAATTTTGAAACTGATTAATTTTTTGAGCCAAAAAATTAGAGAGGGTTGTCTTTCCCAGTATGAATTAGATAATGCATTAAACCCAAAAGGTTTTCAACTGCTCCCGGAGAGGATGGGATAACCTAGATATTCCAGAACTCTAAGGCCGTGCCTGAAACCCTTTGTTGGCACTGTATAATCTCATTACATTGAGAGGTTCTTCCTACTTCCTAGCCCCAAAAGTCTCATTGGCCTAAACCCCAAGCCCCAACAGCTGATACATTTAGGCCGTCTCCTTAACTAGTTGTCTTTTTAAAACTTTTGAAAAAGATGCTTAAAGACTGTACTACAGAAACAAATCAACTTTTCCCCTACCTCTATGGGTTCATGAAAGGTAAAAAAGGGGCAAACTGTTTTCCACCTTTCTCCCCTGCACACACCTCACTATTTTACCCCTTTTCTTGTCAAAATCTGATTTTTATATTGCAACAGAACGTTATACTCATGACTACCAAAATGAATATTGGTGGTAGCTTACTCTGTGGAAAAGGATACCCGTCAAAAAAGAGTACCTCTGTCCTTTTTCCAAGGCTTCAGAAGGATTCTAAAGAAAAGTCTTTAGGTACAAAACCCCAGGGAGGAGTTCTTATCCCTGCTATTTAATATTCTATTTAAAGCGCTCCTAAATGCTCTACCTGCCTCACCTAAACATATAGCTAAAGCTTGCTGATGAATCATGATCCATACAACAGGGGGATAAAAGATGAAAACCATTTTTAATGAAGTTTAAACAAATTTTTAATCGACCCCAAAAGTGAATCAAAAAAAAACCACCCTACCATGGGAATGGATGAAAACCCCACTCAGTGAAGCTGCAGGGCCCCGATGAGGCTAAACAAACAGCGGACAGCCCAAACACACCAGGTCGGGAGCGAGGACACGCACGTAGACATTCCAGTGCAGAGGCCCATCACGAGGAGGGGGAGGAGTTAACTGACCAGACTGCTACGTTAACATTAACATCAGCAACTGCTAGGGCTCGGGCTCAGAGTGATAGTCAACATGATCGTAGAAGAGATGGATCCAAAGAAAATGGACAGGGAGTAGGTAGTGGTGGAGAGGATGATGGCAGTGGGACACCCCCTATTCCTCCTCGTAGAAAAGATAAACGTCGACATAATACTCCCCCAAGACCACAGTCGAATGGCCTTCCACCTACACCAAAGGTCCATATGGGTGCTTGCTTCTCTAAGGTTTTCAATGGGTGCCCACTACACATACACTGTACAGCTTCTTGGATCCATCCAGACACTCGTGACCAACATATTCTTATAGGAGCAGAAGAGGGAATATACACCCTCAACCTTAATGAGTTACATGAGGCTGCCATGGAGCAGTTATTACCCACCAGAACCACATGGATGTTTGTAATTAAAGATGTCCTCATGACAATATCAGGCAAGGGCCCCTACTTGTATCGTCATGAGTTGATTGGACTCCACAACCGGCATTTGCACAAATTTTCTTTACCCATGAATAAAATACCAGAAAAATTTTTACCAAGGAAATATACCATCACCACCAAGGTTCCTGATACAAAAGGCACTCTTCGATGTTGTGTGGGACGCAACCCATACAATGGGTATAAGTACCTCTGTGGTGCCACCAACTCGTCTTTGTACCTGATGCAGTGGTATGATCCACTCAATAAGTTTATGCTGTTAAAGCAAAGTGAGTGTTACCTGCCTCATCCCCTTAGAGTTTTTGAGATGATAATCACACCTGACTTGGAGTACCCACTCATGTGTGTAGATGTAAACCGTAGCTATGGGGCAGATGATGTTCTTCGGCACAGCCTTATCAACCTCAACACTGGAACTACATGGACTCCGGATGATGATGATGATGGATGGAATGGCAACTGTTGTGCCTAGACACAACCTTAATGTAAAAAATGTTACTCAGATTGAAAAAGATGCCATATTAGTCTGTTATGAAAATGTGGTGAGAGTAGTCAACTTGCAAGGTAAAATTAAAGAGAGGAAAAAGCAAACCTCTGAACTTCAGTTTGATTTCAACATAGACTCAATAGTGTGTTTAACAGATAGTGTTCTGGCCTTCCACGAGCATGGTATGCAAGGTCGAAGCTTCAAGAATGGTGAAATCACTCAAGAGATAATTGACAATTCACGGCTATTCAGATTACTAGGCTCTGACAGAATTATCACCTTGGAGAGCCGGCCATCATCAATGCTAGAGTGTGATAGTGGGACATTGACTGAGGCCAACCAGGGTGTCAACCTCTATATTCTGGCTGGTCATGAGTCTAGTATGTACTAGCCACCAGATATTATGAAGTGTTAAATAAAGGACCTGTGTCGAGAAGAACACTGGAAATGGTCTGAAGTGAGGTAATGTGGTTCTGATTGTGATAAGCATATTGTGCTGAAGTATCAAGTATACTATGTACTCTGCTGCTCTTTGAAGCGAGAAGCTGGCAAAGGCCATTTTTTTAAGATTTAATCTGCATTAAAGTGGCCTGATTTAAAAATACAAGTGATTGTTTTTACAATTATATATGTTAATCAGGTGAAGACCCAAGTGCTGTATTTCCCTTTAGATATTCCTCAAAGGGGGTGGATGCAAGAACTTTACTGATGGTAAAAAGTATGATACATACGGTTTTTTACTTTTTTTTTTTTGGGGGGTTTATAAGCTACCAAAGAAAAAAATGATTTATTGTAGTTTAAAAAAATTGTAGTATGACCAAGATTACAAAAAGCTTTGGTTTAGTCAGTAGTTTGGAAAATCATTCCCAATTGAAAAATGGTTATTTCTGAGTGGGAAAGAAAAAGTTTCCCTCGTGCCCTTGAAATTTTTAAAGGCCAACAGCAGTACAAAAAAATTTGCATACATAATCTTGATTTGCCATTTTTTGGGGCACAGTTTGTGTGTCTGTACTTTTAAACAAATTCAAGGTGGTCATTCCAGGTGAAATTGATTTGCCCCATATGGTGCTGAATCTTTTCCTAGATAAGAAAAATCACTGATTTATGTAATTTTTATTTACATCAATTACCCCCAAGGCAGTGTGGTGCGTTTTTTTTTTATCTCTACTGCAAAGTCCTTGATATGCTTGAAATTTGGAAAAAAAAGGGGAAATAATTTTTTTTAAGATTGGAAGCTTCATAATGCTTGCACACCCCCCAAAGGGTTATTACCCTTTAGGTATATCTTTATCATACTTTTAACAAAAGCTAAACAAATTTTTAAAGGTTGAATTCAATCTTCTTAGTGGCTCAGGAAAAAGTTTTATATATAGAATGTAAAAAGGAATTTTCTAGTTTTCTAGGAAAACATCATCTAGGTGCTCCAAATAAATGTACACTCGTCCTACTTTAGGGGGGGGTTCGCTACCAGTTTTGCTTTACTGGCAACTTCTTTTTACCAGGAATTTTTTTTTACATGGGGTAAAAATCATTCCTTTTTGATAGAGAGGGCATTGCCTCATTTTTTGCTCTTTGTGATTACCCAAATACAGACCACTCGATATTTAACCGCTTTTGGGCTTACCCACTAAATGATGTACTACAATTGAAGGGTGGTGAATGAGGGGTGTCAGTTATGGCCTATCCATAAACATGTCCCGGGGCACAGAATGAGGAAGGGAGTATGACATGGCTACCCGGGAGGACAGGTCACCCTCCTGGAGTCCCAGAACACCCCCCCACGACCTTTTCCCCTTTTGCCCAAGCTATGCCCTTTTCCCCCATGACTTCCCAGGCTTCCCACCCACCCCATGCCTCACCAAAAACCTCTCTTTCTCCTTCCCCAGTGAGCAAAGAGTCATGTTTTTAAAACAGTGCAAATAATAAATCACATTCTGACTAAACTTTTCCAAAAAAGTGAGACCTTTTATACATGTTTAAAATTAGCATTCATATGATATGAATAATTTTTGGGAATAAACTCTGATTATGAGGAAAATAAAAATTTCAACTTTTCAAAGTCGAGAACAAACCCTTTTCTATAACATTTATAATGGGTTTGTTTTTGTGATTTTGGGGTTTTGTTACGGCAAGAAAAATTTTTTGCCACATAAAGCAAGGGACGGGGTGTACCATAGGGAAGCTTTTTTAGCTCGTTTGAAGTTCTCATGCATTAAAATTTTTTAAGAAAGGGCCACATGGTTTTAAAAATTGAATGTTTCGTATACATAAAAAATACCCTCCATTATAAGGTTTTTCAAGGTAACATTTTCTTAAAGGGCACTAAGTACTGTACAGTTAATGCTCCATTCACTTTGTTAAACTCTTAATCAGCCCGCGCTGTGAGCCTACTAAAATAATTTAAAGAAGAATTCATACGCAATTAGATACATTTTTTGTGTTTCATGAAAATTTTATCAAAATCGGTGAAATTTGGTTATTTATTTATGAAAAATGCATTTTTTAATAGCACTTGTTTGCTGTAGGGGTCACAAAAGATACCCTCAATTAGTAAGATCCAAAGAAGAAAACTGTCAATTTCTGCTCTAAAAATTTTTGTGTAAAATTTACTTAATGTTATAAGAAGGTAAGACTAGAAGTCAAAAATTTTTCATGAGGGTTTATTTTATAAGCCATTAACTGAGGTATGAATGTCAGTGTACGGCCTATGAAAGAGTTATAAATAATACCAAATCATGTTTATAACATTGTTGTAAAAATTTTTTTGAAATTATCAGAGAGCAGGTATTAAAGCTCAAAAAGTATGCAGTGACGAGCGTGATCAGTACTGTACAAATGTCTCTTCTGGAAAGTTGTGTTTTAAAAATTAAAGGGGAAAATGTGTTTTTTTTTTCAATAAAATATTTTTTGTGTATAATTCTAATAATGGAAGAGATATTCGTTGCAGTGTTACTTAATCCTTTCCTGTCGACCCCCCAAATTTTAAAGACCCCTTTTGTGTTGCCCGTTAAATACTATAATTTTATCTTCAAAAATGGTGGAATCTTTTTCTACAGTAATGACCCAAAAATTTCAAAATTTGGTAATCGTACTTACGAATTACGCGGGACACAATTTAACCCCCTTAGGGTTTCGGGGTACAGTACATCTTACACGCAGGGTTTTTTTTTTTTTACTAGTAGCAAATTCTAGCGCCGTCAAAAACTCGCAGGGAAAAGGTGGGAGGCCTCCATAAAAAAAATGGGTCATGTGGTCAGTGTGCACGGTATAAAAAATCCCGCCCGACACGAGCTTTTTAAAACTCTGCACAAAAATTTAATTTAAACCACAAATAATAGACCTACTTACTGGAAATACATAACCTCTCTTCCTAACAATGATATCTGATAGAAAAGTCACCATATCAAAAAAAAATAACTCAATCACAACATAATTGGGTTCAGACATGTATCGTGGAGCCCCAACCGACAAAAAAAGACTAGCCACGAGGGCATTCACCAAATTTAACTTCAAAAAC